TTTGAGACAGGGTCTCACTATGTAGTTGAGACTGACCTGGAACTCACTATGTAGCCCAGGCTGGTTTTGAACTCTAACTCACAGCGATCCTCCTGCTTCAGCCTCACGAGTGCTGGGATTATAGGCGTGTGCCACCACGCCTGGCCAAGGACATATCTCTTCTTGAATCAAGTTCAATCCCACCTCTTACCCCTTAAACTTATTTCCTTGATGCCAGAACCATCTTAAAACTCCATTAGTATTTTCTCTTTTCCTCTCTCTTCACTGGTTTTGGTTTGTTTTTTTTGAGATAGAGTCTCGCTATGTAGTTCAGTCTGGCTTTGAACTTGCAGAAATCCTCCTGCCTCAGCCTTTGGAGTGCTGAGATTACAGGTGGGTGCCACTATGCCTGGCCTAGGTTCTGATTTTGGATGCTGGGTGAGCATTCAGACCCTGTTCCCCACCAGGCCAAACTCCCACCTTATACTGTTCTGTTAGCTCTGCATGCTCCTGCCTGGTGGTTGCCAGAGCTGTCTCAAGCTCTTGCACTCGGCTCCTCAGCTCTGTCACCTGCTCCTCCAGCTGCAGTTTCAGTTGCATGAGGTCATTCCGCTCTTGCTGGCTCTCATCCAGCTGGTTCTATAGAGGGAAGGGGTAGGTGAGGCAGGAAAACAATAAGCCTGTTAGGCACCCACTTGAAGGCCCTGACCCTGGTACCCTCCAGATGCACACTGCGGCTGGTGAGTCACGTCGGCACAGGGTATAAAGAGGTGGCCAGGGGAGGCCTAGTGTGCCATTGAGTCCTGCCCATCGCCTACTCGGACATACCAGTCACAGCTCTCTTCGGCTGTTTCTTACCTTCCCACTGTAGGCTTGGCCCCTTCCTCACCCAGCAGCTACAAGGATCTAGCACAAGATATAGGCAAAAGGGGAGACTCCCCTAAGTTTACCTTATCTGCTGTGGAGTTGGACAGACTTAGGTCAAATCAGCAACATAATTTTTACCAGCTGTATGACTGAACAAACTGCTGAACTCCTGGAAGTCTCTGTGTCCTTATTTGTGAGGTGACACTTTAGTCTGGGATGGAGTATAGGGCCTTTGCACTAAGCTACATCCCCAGCCCCTTTTTTATTTTTTGAGATAAGGTCTCATTAAGTCACTAAGTTGTCCAGGCTGAGTATGAACTTACAATCTTTCTGTCTCAGCCTCCCAGAGTACTGAGATTATAGGTGAGCCTGGTTGCTGTGCACCATGATGCTTGGCTGCTGTGAGGTTTAAATGAAAATAATGAGTGTGAAAACAGAACACCAAGTAGAAGCTCCTATGTCTCTGACTTAGTTGAGGTATAAACATTGTCTTCCTATTCTTATTTTTCAGGCAGGGTCTTGCGCTGTAGTCCAGGCTGGTCTAAAACTGTGATCCTCCTGCTTCAGTCTCCTGAATGCAGGGATTACACCTGTGTACCAACGGCACCCATCTTAATTCTTACTCTTATGTTGACTCCTTGAATTTGTCAGACTTGAGGTTCTAGAGGGCAAGGGTCTGTCATCCCAGAAAAGCCACCTGCTCTTTTTTTTTTTTTTTCTTTCCACCTGCTCTTACTTTCTGAGCCTTCCTCAAGCCCCTGCTCTTACTTTCTGAGCCTTCCTCAAGCCTTTCCTCTGGTTTGGGGAATGTACTTCCTCCTTACCTGGCCCTGGCCCTCACCTTCCTTCAGGAAGTCTTCCTTGCTAATATCTGCCTCCTTTCCCTAATTCTTCTCTATCTGGCCCCAATGGAAATATAATACAAGCCACATATAAGTTTAACTTTTCTACCAACTACTCCAAAAATAACTCAAAACATGTGAAATTAATTTTTATAGTATTTTATTTATTTTAGTGTAAGTATATAATCAATATATAATCCTCTATTGATATATAATCAGTATAAGAATTATCAAGATCCTTTACATTCTTTTTTTTTTTGGTACCGGGGATCCAACTTGGGTCCTTGCGCTTGCGAGTCAGGCGGCGGCACCACTGAGCTAAATCCCCAGCCCTTTTACATTCTTTTTCTTTCCTTTTATTTATTTACTTATTTATTTTGGTACTGGGGATTGAATGCAGGACCTTGTGCTTGTAAAGCAGGTGGGGTGCAACTGAGCTAAATCCCCTGCTACATTCTTTTTAAAATACTAAGTCTTCAAAATCCAGAGTGCATTTTACCCATATATTAGACCTCAGGGGATTAGTCACATCTGAAGTGCCAAGAAGCACAGGTGGTCAGTGCCTCAGGTACTGGACAGGGCAGGTGGGGCTTTGACTATCTGCCCTGCCTTCTTGCCTGGAAGCAGGTCCTATCCTCTCTTCTCAATTTTCCTGAGGTAGCCTCCCTTCAGCCTTTGGAATTTCCTCTAGGGCAGTGATGACAAACCTTTTAGAGATGAGTGCCCAAACTGCAACCCAAAGTCCGCTTATCACAAAGTGCCAACACTGCAATTACACCTTGACACTGAGGTTTCAGTTTAGAAAAAACAACTCATATATTAACATCTTTTGTCTTCAAAGAAAAACAAATAACATGCATGGCATAGGTTTACCACCTCTGCCCTAGGGCTTAGGGCAAGATGTAGTGCTCAGAGAAGGCAGACAGAGTTCCTGTGAAATCCTGAATTACCCTGGCTTGAGGGTGGCTTGCTCTCCTGCCCCACATTTCTGTGTCTTCATCAAGGGTGAAACTTTCTAGAAAGCTGACTTTGTCTAACTCCTAGTGAGTTCTTCAGCTAAGGATATCTCTCTCTGGCCCAGGAGCAAGTATCTTGCTCTTTTCTCACCTGCAGCACAGTGGCCTTGGGGACGACCAGCAGTATGTCAGAGCCACCATCAGTCTCCTCCAGGGTCACCAGCTCATCCATGGGTCTCGGCTCTCGGAACTGGAAGGGAGGGCTCTGCCCACATACCCGACCCTGGCGGTTCACGTATCGGAACTGGTAGAGCTGGGCTCCGGGTTTGGGCAGGTAGCTGGCTGTGGAAAGAACATACCCAGGACCCCAGTACGATTCCTGGCCTTCGTGAACCAGCAGGTCCCTTTTCTCCTTAGTATGCCATATTTTCCATCGTTCTTGGCTTCAGGGCTTCGCTCCCTGTTCCCTTTACTATTTCTCTCCATTTCGCCTCCTGCAGGCTATCCCTGTTCCTTGGGATCCTCTCCTCCCTCCTCTCTACCTAGCCCTCTCCTCTTTCTCAAACCCACTCCCAGCTCTCACAATCATCACAACGCAAGCTGCCAGTTATAGAGTGCTTACCATGTACCATATACTACTATGCTAACATTTTTACCTGTATCATTTAAAATCCTCTTACCATCTTTATAATACAGCAACCTCCTTTTACTGTTAGATAACAGAGCAGTTAAATCATTTGCCCGAGGCTAAACAGCTTATAAGAATGAAAGCTGAGATTTGAACGTAGGTCTTTCAAAGTCTTTTGCCCATCCTCTTCCCAACCTTTAGGTCTATAAGAGGAGTTCTCCTTCTGTGAGTAAGTAGGAGGACCAGATGCTCTTCAAAGACTCTTCTGTCTCTAAGTCCCTGGTTCTGTGAAAATCCTATGATTCCTTACCTGTTGAGGACTGTTGGATATTTTCTCATTAGAGCTCCCCGATTTTTTCTTAAAACAGGGTCTCACTATGCTGTCTAAGTTGGCCCTGAATTCCTTGGCTCAAGTAATCCTTATCTCAGCCTTCCAGGCATCTGGGACCAAAGGTGTGTGCCACCATGCATGGCTCTTATTACAGCTATTTGCACTTACTCTTGTCCTCTGTGCCCACTACCCCCATCCAAACCTTCTTCTAAACCCTCCATTCCTCTCTGTTTTCCATCTTCCTTCATACCTTGGAACTGGACACTGGCATGGATAGGGGAACCATCAGTTGTACTTTCAGGCACTGAGGACCACACAAATGTGTGGTAATCCCGAACACAGGCAGCCTCCACCTGTGAAAGCCCAAGGTATGGTGAAAGGTATGGAGATGCATCTACCATCTATGGCAAGACTGAATGAGCATCAACCAAGATACATCATGTAAAGGTACAAGATCCCAATGATGAATGTAATTGTATTGTATACCTAAAAAGTACCAAAAAACTTAATGAGAAGAAAAAAAGACTGAATGAGCATCTAAAATAGTGTTATGGATGCTAAAACAGGGAAAGTGGGTGGGGACACTAATCTGTCAGGAGAGAGCAAGGCTAAGATAGGGAGATGAGTTTTGCTTATACAGGTGGCTTATAGACTTGTTTTCTCTTTTTATCTATCAACTCAGGTTGAAAGTCTAAGAAGTTAGTGATTCTTCTTATTCCAACAAGCCCAATCCCCACAAACCCGAGCCAAAAGGGGTTCCGAGGATACCTTGAAGATGCCAATCCAGTCACTGGCACTAGGCGTAGTGCCTGGGGGGAGGGTGTAGTGACATTCCACCTTGGTGTTGGGGATGTAAGTCCGTGCTACATTCAGAAAGCTGACTCCACCCCGGGACCGTGCCCGGCTTAGTGATGATTCTTCCATCCTGTCCTTGAGATATGTGCCCTCCTATGAAAGAAACAGTTGTTACCCTAGTCTCTCCACTCCACCTCCCTTCCCCCAACTCCACCCCTACCCACCCTCAATCCTTGCTACTTCACCCGAAGATGAGAGCACACCTGGTTTCCAACCCAAGTGTTACAGGAGCTTTTTAAAGATATCACTCTTACCTAGAGCATAGGTCTGTCCAAGTCAGTGCCCACCTTGTATCACGCTGTCAACTTTCTGGCTCATAGGTCTTCTCTAGAGGTCAGTTCTAACTTCTATTTAGTTTTTACTGCTGTACTCATCTAGACTCAGTATCCCCAGCTCTGCCCTTCTCAATTCCTCTATTTTGTTCCTTGAGCATTCCAAGTTTTCTAGCCTCCATTTCTTTATCCTCTCCTCCACACTTTTTGCATCTCAGAGTCAAAAACCATCCATGGTGTGGGGTCCTCTCATTCTGAGCAGGTCTCCACTTCTACTCCTGAGCTTGTCAATCCAAATGTACCTAGGAATGGGTGACCCCTGTGACCCCTGAAAGTAGCAACTAATCCCTGAAAGGAATGATTAAGTCCTCAGAGCTGGAATATGGCTAGGAATGGGGGTGGGGACCAAAGAGCCAAATTCTGGCCTCCAGGGCCCTCAGCCCACCTCCCCACCCTGAGCTGTCTACATCCACAAATTCTAGGGAAGCAGATAGCTTTTGCTCTAAGAAACAAAAGGAAGGGGAGGATATAAGGAAAGACAGGTTCTGTCCCTCAACTTCGTTATTCCAGGAAGTCAAGAATTCTGGAGGTGGCAACTTCAAGGGTGGAGTGAAACACTCAGCACGAACTGGTGGTGTGGGGAGATGGAATGTGGGGGCTTGGAGCCAGGAGAGCCCCACCCCTGGTTAGGAGATAGACTTGAGTGGAAAGTAAGAATGGGGAATGTAGGTTTATGTTGAAAAGGAAGAAACAGCTAAAAAAAAACCTAACATTTTCTTTCCAAATCTTGCCTAAAGCAGGCCTAGAAACCTACTGGTTTGCACGGATGTTAATTCAGCTCTAGTATTCCCTCTTCATTTTCTCTGTGCTACTCTTAGCTTCATTTCTAAGTGCTTAAATCTTGCCGTCTTCCTGGATTGATAGTTGAAAATATGCTATAAAATGGGGTTGGGTGGAAGAGATGTTCCAAGTTAGCTGGAGAGAGTTAAATGGAAAATATGAGGGTGGGGTGAGGACAGATAGCAATAACAACAATCAAGAGAACTCCTCAGCCCACGGCTGTGAGCCAACCCTCTTCTCATCTCTCCTTTCCAGCCCACTAATGTGCTTCCTGTGTCAGTGCAGCTGATGCATCCAATCAGCCACCACCACTAGTCATATGCAACCCTTTAGCATCACAAACTCACACCGGGCTGAAGGGGAGAGGGGAGGAACTTTAAAAGAAAAATAGTAACTCAATGGAAAAGGAGAGGTAGGCTAGCAATACAAAAAGGTGCAACTTCTCCCTCCAAAATAGAGACTGAATTAAAGACAAGAAGTTTCTTTGAATTTTCATCTCTGAAAAATCCATGGTAAAACTAGCCCATGTTTTTTCCAAATACAATTCTGGAAGCATGAGTGTAAACTGTCTCCAAAGATCTATGCCCAGGAAGCCCTTAAATACTTCCCACAAAGAAAACCGTAACAGCTGCAAACATTCTCCATGCCTGAAAGTTCGGGGCAGTTGAAGTGTATGTACTGTGTGCAGCCAGACTGAGATATTCATATGGAGTGCTCATGTGTCCTCTTCCCGACTGTGTAGGCCTCAGAGTTCCTTGGCATTCTACAACTTGAAAAGTCTCCCCCCAGGGCTTCAGCATAGTACAGGCCTTTGAATTTGAGTGAGAGAGGGATATTTTTGAGGGCCAAGTCTTGTCTGGAAGAAATGAAGCAAAGATTTCAACTCCTTCAAACTCCCCTAATCGTACCAAGCTTTCTGGAGTAGGTCTCAGAAGAAAGTGAGGACAATGAGGGGCATCCTCCCCCGCTCAGGGGCCTCTTGAAACCAAGAATACCCAAAACATGGGGGTAGCTTCTCCAATACGTAAAGTATTAAAACGCAAACCCTTCCTCATGTCCCTTCTACAGTTCCCTCAGATGATCTTTTCACAGACTGGAAAGTGGGGTGGCCCCCGGAAGGTTCCCCCTTCCCGCAATTAGGTCAAGTTTCTTACCCCACAGACGATCAGCTGTTCCCCTCACCTTTCACCAACAACAAAAACAGCACTCCGACTCCAGAAAGGGCGGAGGAAGAGCGCGCGCGAGGGTTTCTGGGTTGTGTGGTTCTTACGCGGCTGACGGCTGCCAGCCAGAGTCCTTGAGAACTACACATCCCAGGAAGCTGAGCGCCAGAGGCGGAACAGAGGGTGGTGTCTGCGGCGGCCTTCGCGTGGCATCCTGGGAGGCGTAGTCCTCAGTTCCGTGACAGCCCACGAGGGTGTGGCCACCAAAGAACTTCACAGCCCATGATTCTTCAGGGGGCGCGGGCGGCACTAGCTGAGGTGGCTGGTTTGTAGCTTGCATTGGCTGTGGGTGGGAGGGTTTATGGCTCCAAAGCTTTGTGCAAATGCATTATAATGGGCAAGACATTTTCAGGGACGACATCTTTATACATTTTTCACAACTACCTGTAAGATAGTGTTGTACACCCTTTACAGAGGAAGAACCCAAATCCTACAGCGGTTAAGTAACTGGTGTTGTCAAAGCTATGAAAGCAGAATTCCATTAGGGTTTCTGAATCCTTTGCTGCTATCACTATATCACAACTACTCCCCATTTAGGGGATGGGAAACATAAAGCTGTACTAGCTATTTCTTCTTCGCCTTAACCTCAGGAATAGTCTTTGTAATAAACTATGTATTGTGTGTGGTTGGTTATTTTCTTCCAACTTAAAAGATTTCAGTGCTAAAGGGCCTGACATTACTCACACACTTAGACACACTTAGCCCCTAGAGTGGCTTCTATGTCTAGGAAGAGGATGTATTACCTGAGGTGATGGCAGGAGCTACAGAAGGAGAAGCATGACTTTAAAAAGGGAGCCTATCGTAATTCAGGCTAGGTCACAACTCACAAACAAGCCACTTACAGGGGCCTGTTTGCCCAAGCCTTTTAATTGGCTTAATTAGGGTAACAATACAGGTTGTTGCTCTGGTATTTAGAAGAGGTGAAGTATTTATACTCCTCCCACATTTCAAGTCACCTTAAAGATTTGAGCACTTCCCAACCCTTTAATCTGAGAGTTCAGAATTATCTTTCTTCCAGTCTCTGTATTAAACGTTTGCAGTCTGAGGGTTAATTTCCTCTTCTTAGCTGTCTGCTTTAATTTTTTGCTACACTAAGTTCTGAAGTCTCTCCCTTTTCTTTTTTCTTTCTTTCTTTCTTTTTTTTTTTTTTCTGTAGTGATTTTTCTTTAGTGACTGAATAATAGGGTGCCTGGTACCTGCACTTGGGTACATTTCATTTGAAGATCTCCAAGCACTTAATAAGTTACTGGGCTGCACAAGCTCTGAGGTGACATTGTGTCATTAGTCAGGTTTATGAGTTAAGGAACAAACTATCGGGTGAGGAGGTGGCTCAGGGTCCTGGTGTGGGCTAAGCGTGAGGCCTGTTCAAGGACTCAAGTTTCAAGTGTTTTTGGTTTTTGTCTCTGACCCAAAATAAAGGCTTATTTTAAAACTTCAGTCTTAGAACTAACTTCCATTTATTTCTTGCTCACAATGTGTTTAAATAGCCTTATATAGTAGGCCATATTATTATCCCTACTTTACATATGATGAGATCAAGGCACAATTAGTTATTTGCCTGGGACCATTCAGCTAATAAGTGGTATAATCTGGGTTCAAGCACAAATAGTGTACTATATTCACACCCCAAAAATTCCAGTATGTGATGTTACCTCTCATCATTCAAAGGAACAATACTAATAATCAGGGGATAAATATTCACTGGGTATTTATGTACTCAGTGAAAGGCACAAGGTAATGTGAAACTGATTCATTCAACAAATATGTGTCAGGTATTATGCTGGGTATTCAATAAATTTTATTCAAAGAAATAAAATATAGCTGTTTGAAGATTAGATTTGGGTAGTTTGGCAGGACAGGGACTAGGAAGTTAGCTTTATTCTAGACTGAATTAAAGATTCAGAAAAGGGAATAGATAATGTTTACTGTCTAGAGAGGCACATAAAAATAACACATCAATTTCAAGTTAAAATAAAAACTCAGAGCATTGGTAATAGCAGCCAGGAATGTTGCACTGAGAAGGACTCTAAAAAAAAGTGCTGGGATTAATTAGTAATGTCTGCCATGTACACCAGAATGGAAGATGGCAGTTGTCATAGATTGAAGTTGTTTGAAGTTATGTCTTCTCTCCTGCACTGCCCATTGCCATGTGATTTATGATATCTTCTGTAGAAGGAGTATATGCCTTATTTTGTTGACTATGGGTTCGGTCATGTTTTATGTGATGGGATGTGAGCAGATAAGAATTATACTGTATTTGAGTGCCTTAGTTTTCTCTTGTTCATTCACCTGCCACTAGAACAGGTATATTCCATGTGAGGGTTGTCCCTTCTGCCTGGCACTGGGCTGATATGGAACAGAGTATAGCCTACCTATAGTTACATTACATATAAGTCAGAGATAGGGCCAGGGATTTAGCTTAGTGGTGCTGCTGCATGCTCCTGAGTTCAATCCTGGTACCAAAAAAAAAAAAAAAAAAAAAAAAAAAGAGAGAGAGAGATAAAGAGAGATAAACCTTCATTTCTTTGTTTTTTTATGTCACTGAGCTTTTAGAGTTGGCTGTTATTGCAGCAAAGCTGACTAATATCTATGAATGAATAATCCTATCTTCCTCAATTATGAAAGGTAAGTTTAAGGAGGAGGTATTTTAAGCCAGTGTAGACCACCTTAAATGCCAAGTGAGGCAGAGACAGCTATGTATTATTTATCAGAACTTGCTTCTTTTTCTTGGACACATAGGTGGATCACATTTTCTATTTTCTCCTTTAATTGATGTCTTCCACTATCCAGATTTGGCATATGAAACCTCCCAAAGGAGATGTTTCATTTTCTTTCCTTTTGGGCTTCATGCTGATAACTTTGTGCTCAGTGATACTGAAAGTCACATGTTAAAGACAGTGGAGCTACAGGGTGAAAAGAATCTAGTTCCTTGAACTACCACTTAGTGGAGAGCTGCCCACTAATCAGATCAAGTATTTTGAACTTTACTTGACCAATAAAAGTAGCTGGTGTTTTCTTAATCACTTCTCAGCAGGAATAGGACATTGGTCACTAATTATGTCTTTGTGTGTGTGTGTGTGTGTGTGTGTGTGTGTGTGTGTGTGTATGTGTGGTACTGGGGATTGAATCTAGGGCCTTGTGTATGCTAGATAAGAGCTCTACCACTGAGCTACATTCCCACCCCTTTACTATGTTCTTAAATTTTGAGATAGGATTTTGCTAAGTGGCCCAGACTAGTTTCAAATTTGTGGTCCCCCTGCCTCTTCCTCCCAAGAAATGGGGTTATAGGAATGCACAGCCATGCCTGGATACTAAGGATACTGTGAACAAGCAGAAAAATACCGTGAAGATGGATGGAAGTTGTAGGGTTCAAAGAATACTTTGAGTTTGAAAGATTTTAGGACTGTTGAGTTTTTTTAGAATATAGCTAATTCCTGGCTAGGGCTGTAGCTCTGTGTCGCCGCATCTGCCTGGCAAGCACAAGATCTGAAGTTCATCCCTGGTCCCAGAGAGGTGTGTGGGGGGGAATAGCTAATTCCTAAGAAGGGGAAGGGAAAAGCTGGCATGATCTTTGGAAGGCTCCCTAGAGTTTGTGGAAGGAGCTACTGAAAAAGGAATCCTATTTCCCTAAAAAAAAATTGTTTTTTTTTTTAAATGCAGCACTGGTGATTGAATCCAGGACCTCATATAATTTAGGCACAGCACATAACGCCTAGTGAAGCTGTCTTGCTCCCTGGGGATGCTTTAAGGAGCCACCATTAGTTGCATGCCAACTGTGTGAGAGCTGCCATCCCTTACTGAATCATCACTGTAGGCAGGGACTGGCCAAACTTGACAGGTGAAGAAACAGAGATTTCCAAGAGTAATTTGCCCAAAGTCTCTCAAAACAATCGTATTCTTTTTGGTACTGGGGGTGTGCAACTCAGGTTCACTTGTGAGGCAGGCAGCGGAGCCACTGAGCTAAATACTGGGCCCTCTCAAAACAATTGTATTCTGAAACTTATACTTTTTCCAATATAATAGCATGTTTTTTTTTTGTTTTTTTTTTAAATTTGTTACCAGGGATTGAACTCAGGTCCTTCTGCTTGCAAGGTAGGTGGTGGAACTGCCGAGCTAAATCCCTGGCTTGCTTTCTAAGGAAATAAATAATGGCTGGTATTTACCAGCCACATAGTATTTACCATGTGAAGGCATTCTGGTAGGTGTTTGAGAACACACAGATCTGTAGTCTCAGCACTCTGGGAGGCTGAGGCAGGAGGATTGCAAGGTCAAGCACAGTCTGAGCACACAGAGACTCAATGAAAGTCTGTCTCAAAATAAAAAATAAAAAGAGGGCTAGGGTTTAGCTCAGTGTGAAGGCCCTGGATTAAGTTCCCAGTACCCCGCTCCCTTAAATAAAGAAAACATACAGAAGCAGTGTTATCAAATATTGTAGGCTGTAACAAATATTTCCCAACTGTGGATTTTGTGAGAAGTGGAGAAATCATTAACTTTTTCTCTTTTTTGAGATGAGGTCTCCCTTTGTTATGTTGTTCATACAGTCATAGTTTTTCTTTATTCTTATATTCTATCAATTAAGAGCTTGAAAATTTGTACTCTGCCTTGAAATTAACAGCTGTGTTATGGTTCTAATGAAAATAGCTGGTTTCCTGTACTTTTCAATTCTATCACATTTCTGGCAGTTTAAAAACACTGCCTTCTGGGAACTGTGGCTGGGCACGTCCTCTCTGTGTCTCTGGCCTCTTCGGTGCTAAGGGAGTGGAGGGGTTAACCCTGGAGCCTGGGAATGCAGAATGGAGCCTAGAGTACAGACTCAAGAGCTATGGGGTGGGGCAGGTAGCAGCAGAGCATTTGCTTGGCCTGTGGAGGCCCCGGGTTCAACCCTCGCAACAGGATGGAAAAAAGAGTATGATTTAGGAGGTAGCATGCATAGGATGTGATGTGGGGGATGAAGGAGAGGAAAGCCAGACATTGTGGTTTTTGAAGTGCAGGTCATTTTGGTACCTGTAGACCTGTGGCCCT